TTACATAGGATTTGTCGTTACATATTAGCAATACCAATAATGTATACATGAAACTATCGTGATACGTATACAGATAACACTTACCAGGAACTGTATACTGGGGAGGAAACACACAGGTATAAACTAATACAGGAACCAATACACATATTCTCTTTTGCTGGGAATATTTTATAAAAAGCGTAGTAGGTCATTTATTGACTACTAAAACTTATATTTGTCCATTGCTTTCGGCAATACGATGTTAGCATCAAATGATGACGTTCAAGTAGGACGTCTGGTATGGCTAACCTAATGAGAAACTGTAGAAATTATAGTCTCCCGAAACCAATCGGAGCAGGATGTAATATATGCTTTTAACGATATAGAACATTCAAGGTTACATTGATGCACCAGTTGTCTGTAATTATCCTAATATTGTTATTTATTTTAACATTTCAATAATGCTTTGTGACATCGGCAATTTACGTCTCTTGTTACATTTGTTCATATTCTAATCATCATATAATGTGGTTTGCGACATTTCTAGCACATTAAAATTCTTTTATGAGAAGCAAAAACAGCCAACTCACATAATGCATGCTGTCACGAGTATCGAACTTTAACACTCCAAGCACAATAGGAAATAAACTGAATTAATCAAAAAATTGGAAAATAGAATTCATAACATGCTTTACAGCATATCCTTGTTTGGATTCGCATTCCTAAATATACCATTAGCATCAAAGCACATTGATCAAATCCTAATTTGACTTCAATCATGATATTTTTCGAGTAGGCGGAAATACAATGAGACGCATAAAAGTAGCCGATATAGAGAAAAAACGTCTCACTTTATAACTTTTTACCAGACAGCCTGCGTACCAGGTATGAACCTGACCACCATGTTAGTGACTGTGTACCAGGTATGAACCTGACGACTGTGTACCAGGTATGAACCTGACCACCATGTTAGTGACTGTGTACCAGGTATGAACCTGACCACCATGTTAGTGACTGTGTACCAGGTATGAACCTGACCACCATGTTAGTGACTGTGTACCAGGTATGAACCTGACCACCATGTTAGTGACTGTGTACCAGGTATGAACCTGACCACCATGTTAGTGACTGTGTACCAGGTATGAACCTGACCACCATGTTAGTGACTGTGTACCATGACCGAGCCTGGATATCACGTTACGTGGCTGTATACAGTAAGTCAGCACGGGTTCCATCATTTGTTACCGCAGCGAACGAACGTTCATTGGTGTGAACAATGCAATTGTTTCAATATTTTATGTAACACATTCAATCGAAATCACGACTTGTCAGATTTAATGTACAGTAGACGCTCACCCTTCCGGATAACTTACCTTATTTTTTCAATTGACGATGTTTTCCACTATTGGCGGTAACCTTACCTGTAGTTAACTTTTAAAATATATGGGCAAGTCACCTTGACTGGAGTCAACTTATCAAATCTAAAAGGAAGATACCATTTCTATAGTCGGCTTTTAAAATAAAAGAAGTAAGCTTTTCTGAAATCGATTCGTAAAACTAACAATAAGCCACAACTAATCAATCAAGTATGACCCATCAGTGTAACCAACAATTAAACCCTTCGGTGTGATCTAGATTAAAATGTCTTCGTCTTCTTTCTTTATTTTATTAGAACATTAAGTAGAAATGAATAAAATTACAGCTGATATAAATTCGTTACAAATATAAGGAATTATATCAGTAAATAATCGCATTTGTCAAATTTAACGATGACAGTTTGACGATATTCCAAGTAATGAAATGTATCAGCAATTCACATGTACTTAAAAGCTATCTTTACAAAATGTTCTTTCTTTGTCATTTCAATTCCTGTACTTAATTCATCATCATCTGCGCAACAATGTACCTAACAAACAGTACACTTATTGTCATCTAAAAATAATGTACTTGTTGTCATCTTAACAACAATGCACTTATTGTGATCTACAAAACAGTGAACTTATTGTTATCTCCACAACGGTGTACTAATTGTTATCTTAACAACAGTGTACTTATTGTCATCTTAATAACAGTGTACTTATTGTTATCTTCATAACGGTGTACTTATTGTTATCTTAACAACAGTGTACTTATTGTGATCTTAATAACAGTGTACTTATTGTTATCTTAACAACCGGTTGTACTTATTGTGATCTACAAAACAGTGAACTTATTGTTATCTCAACAACGGTGTACTAATTGTTATCTTAACAACAGTGTACTTATTGTCATCTTAATAACAGTGTACTTATTGTTATCTTCATAACGGTGTACTTATTGTTATCTTAACAACAGTGTACTTATTGTGATCTTAATAACAGTTTACTTATTGTTATCTTCATAACAGTGTACTTATTGTTATCTTAACAACAGTGTACTTATTGTCATCTTAATAACAGTGTACTTATTGTTATCTTAACAACCGGTTGTACTTATTGTGATCTTAATAACAGTGTACTTATTGCTATCTTAACAACAGTGTATGTATTGTCATCTACACAACAATGTACTTATTGTCATCTTAATAATAGTGTACGTATTGTCATCTAAACAACAGTGTATTTATTGTCATCTAAACAACAGTGTATTTAATGTCATATAAACAACAGTGTACTTATTGTTATTTTAACAACGGTGTACTTATTGTCATCTAAACAACAGTGTATTTAATGTCATCTAAACAGTATATTTATTGGCATCTAAACAACTGTGTAAGGATTGTCATCTAAACAACAGTCTGCTTACTGTCATCTACACAATTGTGTACTTATCATCTAAACAACAGTGTACATATTGTCATTTAAACAACGGTGACTTATTGTCATCATTTGAACATCAATTTGTTTACTGCCATTTAAACGTACTTATGTCATTACAACAGCGTTCTTATTTCAGTGTCATCTGAGCAAGTGTTCTTTTTCTCTTGTAATCTTTTGAATTATTTGCTTGTTGTTTGTAGACGTTCAATTCCGGATGGATATGTTTACAATTCTCCTCAAACAAACATCATATAACCGCAATAAATATCATGTACCTATAAAGTTCTGATTTAACAATTTACAGATCAAATAAAAAAGACCAAGCCAGACGAAGGCTATACACTTATCCCGCTTTGACTGATATCAATCTTACTAAGCTGGAGCTAGCTATTCCGCAAAACAGACTTACCATTGAAATAACAATCGGACCAAAATCTATATGTTTGATAATGTTGATACTTTATGCACATTTTAAACTGAATCGCCTTTTTTTTAGTAAAACAGTTTTTAGTGTGTTGGATGCGTTTTTTTGTAACACATATTTTTTTCTTTGAAATATTTTCCTTGGCCATGAAAACTAGCATTGCGCGCGAATGAAAATGTTTTAATAACATTTTAAAAATAAAGAATTGGTTAATATCTGGATACTTCTAACATCATTGTGTATCATTTGCAAGTCATTAAAACCATAAACTACACATATCATAAGATGGTTAAGTCAGCAACAACAGTAACATCATCAATACCAATGTTGTAAGATGATTTCATCACAAAGAACAATGACATTGTCAATCCATATGTCTTCTCATGTCTTAATGACTTAATACCAAACAGCTTTAACATCGTCAATACGTCTTAATGACTTAATACCAAACAGCTTTAACATCGTCAATACGTCTTAATAACTTAATACCAAACAGCTTTAATATCGTCAATACGCCTTAATGACTTAATACCAAACAGCTTTAACATCGTCAATACGTCTTAATGACTTAATACCAAACAGCTTTAACATCGTCAATACGTCTTAATGACGTCATACCAAACAGCTTTAACATCGTCAATACGTCTAAATGACTTAATACCAAACAACTTTAACATCGTCAATACGTCTTAATGACTTAATACCAAACAGCTTTAACATCGTCAATACGTCTTAATGACTTAATACCAAACAGCTTTAACATCGTCAATACGTCTTAATGACTTATGAACTATAATATCATAAATGCATATGTCTTCTGATGGCTTAGTCTCAAAACAATAATAACATTGTCAATACAAATGTATTCTGATGGATTAATTCAAAACAACAGTAACATTGTCAATGTAAATGTATTTTGAAGGATTAATCTCAAACAACTATAACATCGTTAATACATATGTCGCATTAGGATTACATCCTAAACATTCAGCTCATGTCGTGACATTCTTGTAAAGTGTCACAGGCTTTTTTATTCAAAAATATTATTAGGTTGGTTTGACAGCTGTGAGTTGTGTCCTGTATATATAACTGTGGCGACAGTGTTACAGATCCTATGTGCAAGAGAGGTTTTATTGTAAATACATAAGTATCCTACACATGTGTTACAGGACATCCGCCATCTTCAGGTATAGAAATTGATGTATCGTCATTAATCTCATGTAAGATTACAGTATTAGAACACATGTACAATAAGGAGGATTCTGATGCAGGGGGTGTATTATCCGAAGATTGGTAATAATCTATACATATGTTCGGGCTAGCCAACCTCATTCTGTCAGAGAAGAATATCCAAAGTACGTATAATATCACTTACCTTGAACTGTCCGTATGGAAAACGGTTATAACCGTTTAATCCGCATACGTCTGAATTTTACAGCATCATTTACATAGGCATATAAGTGGGTGTTTTGGTTTTGTTAAATTGAAACTGAACCATCTGCTGTACACGTCTTGGAAAGCTCATATCCGAGCCAATAAAATATATATTACTGTGTTGTTTTCAGTAAAATATATTTAAAAGCCTTGTTTATTTGTTTTATAGAGGTTAATGCTATATTTGAAACAAACAATTCCAAGATTGAATTTAGACAAAGTGTTGGCTTCAATATACATTTGTAATGTGTCCATCGCAATAGAATTAAATGCTTTCATTTCAACGAATATCAACAAATATTAAGGTTTTAAATAAATCATTTTAATGTTAACACCAATATATGGAAGTAACAATAACTATCCTGTTTACGGGATCACAGTTCCGTCGCCTTGCGACTACCTACCACGTGCGTGTTAGAATTGAGGAGGTTCATTCGTTGGTTACCGCTGAAACTCACCCGAGACAATAGCATACTGTTGGGACTACTGTTGTGGTCAAAAGATCGGCGGTACTCTTTCACTTTACAAAGAAGTTTTTCGATGTTTCTTCGGAATTTCTTCCCTGTAGCACAATATAGAAAGAAATTCATGGAATGGTTCGTATACATGAGAAGTTCTGTGATAGTTTTAGCGAGAGCAAATCTAGCAATCTGTTCTAATGTGGTCAACTGGCTATCCATGAGAACGGTCACTATTAGAGATACATTGTTTGGTAAAGTCGTTATCATAAATGTGAACGATACAGCTAGTAGCATCAGTGTCAATTTAATACTTCCCTCTGTTGGTAACCTTTTCTGTAATTGGTTATTCCTTCCAGATTTACAGTTTTGTAACTGACACCGAAACCGTCGTGCAAGTAGCACCTGTCTGATGATAAGAAAGTTCAGGATCGCTAGTATGAAACATGGAACGAACGAGTAAATGGCTGCGTCCACCCAGGGCCAGACTTCGTCCAGTAGGTACATGTAGCGCTCGTTCGCCACGCATGTGGCGATGTCCGAGCCGTTGGTCTTGGTGATGGACAAGTCCACCGTCCACATGAAGTGGACATTTATGGCGACAATGGTAAGGAACATGACGACACTGACCGTCCGGGCTTTTTGAACGCTACACAAGACAGACGCCTGTAGGGGATGACACACGGCGATGTAACGTTCCACCGTGACCGCAACAATTAGCCACACCGAAAAGTCACTAAACAGGTAAGTAACGGTCACAGTCAGCTTACAAAGCCAAGCCGCTTGGTCCTTGACATCCACCCCAGTCAGCTCGCCCGTCCAGCGCCTCAGCAGACCTATGTAGAGAACCAACAGGTCAGTGAGGGACAACACAGCCAAATAAAAATATGTGGACACACGGGTCATAGACTGACGGAGCACGAAAAACGAAAATAGGTTCCCCACGGTGCCTATGAGGAGCAATATCGGTGGTATGTATAGGAGAAGGGTCTTGTTAACCCTATACGCGTGGTAGTCCATTAAGGGCACTTCATAGGTATGAACGAACATGCTTCTGTTTGACATAGGTATGCTTACTAACTCGTACATTGGTAAGTGAGAGAAACTCTTGCAATAAATGAGTCACAGCGTTTAAACAACTTAAGCGGCCTTGTCAATCGAGGCGACATCTGGCTTCAACTTTTTGAGAGTGAGCGCATACACTTTTTTTGACTGCTTTTATACATTTCCCCCACAACTTTTAACGGAACCATCTGCATGTCGGTACACATTGTGCTCCCTGGTGCGCAAGTGATGAGAGTGTGCGCTGAGATTGAAGATTGTCGGAGACGAGGCGCTGATTGGGACTGTGCAGTGTCCGGGTTGGGCCACACGCTAGCTCACCATGAAGTGACTGGCTCGACACAAGTAAGCAGGCAGGAAAACGTAGGAATCAATATACAGAACTCATCCTATTGGCGAGCTTCAAACATTGTCACGACACTCCAGCCTCTCTACCACACACAATAGATTGTGGAGGTGTATAGCTAACAGGGGAAACAAAATGGTCTATCAGTTGCACCAATATTTACGTATTCATAGATATTTGTTAGGGTTTAATAGCCCAGGGGATGTTTCACTGTCTCTCGGCTCTAATATCAATCGTAAAACATCAATAACTTATAAACATAAATAATAACATCTGAATGCTCTCTAAACAAACATAACTTAACTGATAGACGTTCATAGTGAGTATTATTAATTGCATCAATGAGAATTTACAGGAAATACTAATTCTGATCAATTTTACTTATTCTTTTGAGACCTGACTGAATAAAGGAATTGTTATGTTACATTTAACTGTTATAGAGATTTCACGGGATAAGCAATTTTGTGATTCATTTATGCTTATTTCTTTAAACTCTATTATTAGTTGTAAATATTTCTAAATTAGCGCTATCTATGTTGTCAGGCGTCACCTGATAGTTTCTTAAAGTAATATGGTCTAGCTTCAACATCTGACTTTATCAGGTATTCACAATATAGAGTATTAACCTATTTGTTATGTTTAACGGCCAAAAGTCTTCCTTAGGATTGTTTTTGTTATTGTATGTCTTCCTTTAGATATCTAAATTCAAATAGATTGATTTCAAGTAAAACGTGCATAATGAGAACATTAGTTAAAATTGAGAAACATCGAGAAAATGTGTGTGAAGGGAGACAACTCGACTCCAGTAGGTTTTGATAGCTTTGCAGCCAGACTGCATTTAGGCATTGAGAGAGTTTTGTCGAAATGGTAGCTTATGTTGATATTGGCAATAATTTGTAACTAAAACTTGATGCATTGTAAAAATCGTTTCTGGAATAATATGTTTTATTATTATACAAATGCAATTCTAACAATTCAGTTACTATAATTAATCATCTAATTCAAATCAAATGTATGCCTTGCGTGTGCATGTTTAAATGATAAAAACGTCATCTTCTAGGAACACGCAGTTATAGCCAATGTCCCCTTTCAGAGTCATAGTTACATGATGACAGTAATTGTGACATCTTAACTTGGTTGAGTTATATCCGTTGGTAACTGTGAGTCGCACAAAGACGTGACACCACAAAAGGTGAGAGAGACAGGATGGTGCGTATACCCCGGTCTTCGCTTTGGGGACATGATGTTTCCCGGACTGCATCGATGAACCAGCAGACGCTTACTCTTCTGGAACACATGGTCCAGTGTATTTTTCGGTGGTATCAATATTAACATTTCCTTTGTCCATATGTTGCCCTAATTGCACCGATTTTGAGTTCGGGTTACGGTTTGGTTGACGATTTTTTCCCTTTTGTTGATCATTTTTAGTATCTTACACCGACTTTTGTGCTGTAGTTTCATAAAAAGAGCCATTTACTGCAAATACGTTGCTGACAATGAAAACTATAGTTAAAATTGATAAAATTAATTTACCATCTGTAGCAGACAGAAACGATTCAAGGAGACATGTCTTCCGCTGGACGCAGATAACTAGAAAACATAGTTTTCAACACGAACCAATATTGCTAAATACAGTGTCATTATGAAAAGAATCGTTTACCGATTTTGAGTAAGGTAGTTTGAAATAACATTTGAGACATGCATTTTTATGCACAAAAAGGAAATCTTGACTTCTTGAATTTTTCATTTTAGCGTCATTTTCAGGTTCTGGTTTAAAAACATTTTTCAATTAATTGTTCAAACGTTATATATTATCCATAAGCAATGTTTACAAATTGGTTAGATGGAAACGAGACTGTTTATACAATGTCTCATGTGGAATTGATAGTGCTTTCTGTGTTTTACAAATGTGGAACCTTCACCTTAAATGGGAGACAGGGTAGTGATTTACAGTGTGACAAGCAGCAATTCATGTTTAAGACTTTGTCCGCACATATCATTTCCAATATATTATTCTTTTATCTAATATTTAGTTTTCAATGATTTAAATGAAATTTTGAATTTTAGTAAATAAATAAAAATAAAATAAATGTTACTTTGCATGTAACAATTTTGATGACTGATTACAAACTTTGATTTAAAACCTGTTTTTAGAAAATTTTGTCATCATGGATGCTAATGGTAATTTCACAGTGTATTCGCCGCTCAAGTGCGAGTTCTCCGTGCCCCGTCAACCAATGTCAATACACCACAATGTCAATACACCACAATCCACAATGTCAATACACCACAATGTCAATACACCACAATGTCAATGCACCACAATGTCAACAATGTCAATACAACACAATGTCAATACATCACAATGTCAATACACCACAATGTCAATACACCACAATGTCAACACACCACAATGTCAACACACAACAATGTCAATACACCACAATGTCAATACACCACAATATCAACACACCACAATGTCAATACTACGATGGCCGATAGCGGCCGACAGAACACTCGTATTAGTAAAAAGTGTTCTGTTTGACAGTTTGTCACCAAAGTGGGCATTTTACACATTTTGTAAAAAGTGTAAACTGTCATGACCCTTTGTCAATTCATGCATGGCAGTTTACTCATTTTACTTTCACAAAATAAACACTGGGGGAGGAGGGAGATATGGAAGTAGGGTCACATTCCAAGGGTTTAAACATAAATCACACGGATTAGACGGTGTTTTTAACTGTTCATTGTGTACACTGGGAGCAAGAGGGAGTTCCTGCTATAAAGTAAGAAAAACGATGCTGTTTAAAAAGTATTTATATTATAAATGTATATGTATACTGTTTTGAATATGTAAACTTAAGGATTTATTGACGATCACAAGTTCAGATTTATTGACGATCACATGTTCAATACTGAAGGTAGCACTAGACTCTACCATTTTAACCGTAATCAACTTTGGCCATGTTACACACCGTGTGCTTGATCTGAAGGTCACAAAGAGGAAGCTAATAGTTGTTTTAAAAAGTTGTTTTGATAGAAATGATGGCATAGTCAAAGTCTGCATACATTTTAACCGTAATGTTTGATATACTGTTTTTTTTTAATAAAGAACAGAGTTGTTACAATCTTGATACAATAGTTCATACCATTAACTTAACTTATCCGGGAGGACATGGTAATGATAATTGTAATTATTGTAATACTCAGTGACTATTGACAAATTAGTAGTATACATATCATGTTATTTTCAGTGACATTCCAAAATGCAGACTGAACCTCAAGACAGTAAGTATACTGTAGTGGTATGTAATGTTCAACCCTTCGATTTGATGTATGCGTTGTATCTCCTAATCACATAACGTATCCACTGATAATAGTAGAATGATTTAATTGAGATATACAAGTGTATTACATTTTATCGTTGCGGACATATGTTTGCGCAGTCATTAGCTCATTCGGGTGTCCGTTTACATAAGTATGCTAAATGCTCCAATCCCTTTCGAAAATTCAAATAATATGCGGTTTATTTCACACACAAAATTTCACGAAATATATATTATTAAGCTAATGTTTACGAACTGAAACTTCATATCAAAATGGAATGTGGAATTGTTTTGCATGCCTTATTGAATGCCTTATAAGCTGAAAGTGAGGAATATGTCGAACATTTTATTAATATAATCAATACTGCTTAGTTTTCAAAATGATTTTCGAAAAGATCATTTTCTACCACGTCACAATCATTGAGCTGTGGTATAAAATTTGCAGAAAGCATGACATGTCTAGTATTTTGAACAGTCAGTACTTTCATGTGATTAATTTCTACGCTACTATGGATTATCTTTTGTTCATTTTAGTCCCTCAGCCCTTGGAATGTGACCCTATTTCCATATCTCCCTCCGCTCCCAATGTTTATTTTGTGAAAGTAAAGTGAGTGAACTGCCATGCATGAATTGACAAAGTGTCAGGACAGTTTACACTTTTTACAAAATGTGTAAAATGCCCACTTATAGTTTGACAAACAGTCAGAGAAATCACTTTTTACTAACATAAGTGTTCTGTCAGCCGCTATCGGCCATCGTACAATACACCACAATATCAATACACCACAATATCAATACACCACAATGGCAATACAAACCACAATATCAATACACCACAATGTCAATACACACCACAATATAAATACACCACAATAAACATACACCACAATGTCAATACACCACAATGTCAATACACACCACAATATAAATACACCACAATAAAAATACACCACATGTCAATACACCACAATAAAAATACACCACAATGTCAATACACCACAATGTCAATACACCACAATGGCAATACAAACCACAAGATCAATACACCACAATGTCAATACACTACAATGTCAATACACCACAATGTCAATACACCACTATGTCAATACACCACAATGTCAATACACCACAATGTCAATACAACACAATGTCAATACACCACAATGTCAATACACACCACAATATAAAGACACCACAATGTCAATATACCACAATATCAATACCCCACAATGTCAATACACCACTATGGCAATACACCACAATGTCAATACAACAACCACAATGTCAATACACCACCATGTCAATACACACCACAATATCAATACACCACCATGTCAATACACACCACAATATAAATACACCA